GGGGTAGCTGGTAGTGGTCAGTACAGTCCTCCTGGTGCCCTCCATGTCCATCGTGGGCTGGTCCTACAGCATACAACACCCCAACCATGGGCAGCCATCATAGCCCCAGTGCTGGCAAGGGCCCCATGTCCTTCTCCCCAATGCGTGTTCTTACCAGGGTGATGGCTCAGCCACTGGGATGGCTACAGAAGTGGCATTCTCCATTTTATTTAAAAAAAACCACCCAAATCTTTTCCACAGGACAATAAGCAAAGGAGCAGGGCAGCATCACTAGGCGCCATCACCTGCCCCCACCTTGCCCCAAGGCTGCCCAACAAGGCAAGGGGCTGCCCCAGGGGTGAGAAGGGGCAGATGCTGCTACAAATGGACACGGTTGCCAAAGGAGCAGAGAGCTACACACTGCAGACCCCATCAGGTGGGCCAGGTTGCTGGAAGACTTCTTGTGGCCTCCTCCCTTTTCGGTCCATTCTTCTGGTAGCAAAGGCACTGTTCAGCAAGTGTCCTTCTCTGCCCACAGCAGGGCTGGCAAAGCTTCATCTTCCTCATCCTGCTCCATGCAGTTGATCTTATGCATCCATCCCTCTCCCTCCCAGACCAGCAAGCATCCCCTTTCCCAGGCCACCAGCACCACCAAACTTCTCCCACTCAAGTACAGTAACATCACACAGAGAGAGGGGACAGTGGGGCAATCCAAAAAGAACAGCAGAGGTCTGCTGCTGGCTAAAGCACATCAGGCAAGAGGTGTCCCCATGGCCCAGAGGACATGGAGGGGAAAAAGAGAGGTTACTCCATGAGTGGTAGCACTAGGTCACTGCCCAGCTGGGGGTCACAGCCTGTCACTTGTATGCTTCCCCCTTCCCTGCCGAAATTCTGTGCTGCCTTCAGCCCTGCTTCATCGGATGACGGGTGCCGAGCGGTCGTTGGTGACGGTGGGACGCAGCTTGACTGTGGCAAAGGGGTTGGTACCTCTGGAAGGGGAAAGAAAATGGGTGACCATCAGGAAATCTGCAGAGACCACACAAGGATCCTGCTGACCAAGCACAGGCTGTTTAGCCCTGCTGGACAGCCAACTCCATGCCAAGGATAAAGCTGGCTGCTGAGTATATCTTCTCCCTCCTTAACCCACCCTGCTGCAGCTTCCCATGTGGCTCCCCCCCCTTGGGCTCTCCTTAGGGCTTCTCACCCTCCCTCTTCCATAGAATGAAGAGGAGTCACTAGCATAAAGCTGTCCCTTGCGTTGGCACCGTACACTGGTCGCTCCTGACCCTCCAAAGCAAGGAGTCAGGGAGCAGAAAGAGGTCACAGCACCATGTCAGAAACATGGAGACACCAACCCAGCTGCAGAGGGAAGGAAAGCAGCGATTTATGGCAAGTCTTATCTCCACAGACCTGACTGAGCAAAGCTAAGAGACACATCCCTTACACCTTAACCCTTTCCAAGCAGGCAGAGCTGCAAGAATTGTGTAGCTCCATGCTCAGACTGCAAGCTGCTACTGTGGCTATTCAAAATGGATTAGAAGGAGCACGCAGGTCTGGCCATCTGCTCAGGGGGCTCAAGTCCTACCTCATATCACCAGAGGCAAGAGAGAGCCTTCCCAATCAGCCAGAATGGGCCACATCTGTGCATCCACTTCCTCTACCAGAAGGTGGGTTGTACATTGCTCTCCTCCAGACACTTCCCAGTCCCTCCCACATTTGATAATTCAAAAGATTAAACAATAATAGTATTATAAATAATGTGTGTGTGTCCCTGTCTGATGATTCCAGGGCACAGCTCTACACCTCACTCACCGTGGGAAGAGTTCAGGGCGCTGGTCAAATGCTCCTGATTTCTGCAGTGAAAAGAAAGGCAGCAGTGAGAGGTCTGGGGTGGGGAATGCAGAGACAGAAGTGGGGCAGGAGACACCACACACATGGAGGAAAATTTCACAAAAGACTTCAGTGAGTTATGGAGCTCAAGTCCTATTAACAGGACTGTGACTCCTCATTCATTCAAGCTTTGAAAAAGCCCACTAATTCACTGTTACTTTTAACACTGTGATTTCTGCAGTGGAGGGGATGCCCCTACACCACAGGTTCCCTATTCCCCTGGGACACCTCCCTTTGTGCTGAGGAAGAAAGAAGATGTCTCAGGTCCCCAAAGTGTCATGTCTGAAAAGCACAGCAAACAGTGACAGTCTGAGCTACATTGCACCCCACCAGCACGGCCAGAGATGCCCCCCTCATGTTGCCCACACATCGTGGCAAAGACTTCATCAATCATCAGTGCCTTCAAACGCTTCCTGCATCCACAGGGAACTCATGAGCTCTAGTGCTGCACACCATAGACTTCTTAAATGTGGACCAACCTGAATGAGAAAGATGAACCTAGGTCCTGTGGCCCTTACTCTTGGCCGGTAGCTAGTGAAGGATCAGTGACAACTGGCCTGCTAAAGGACACCGGTTTCTGTAGCTGGTGGCAGGGATGAAAGCCACATGTGGCCATCTGTGTTCCAGCTGGGAGGGCAAACACCCCCCATTTGCTCCTGGCTCAACTGGAGGATGTCTTGGGCAGAAGTTTAGAGCAAGGCTGAGTCTTGTCAAACTTCTAATGAGGTTCAATCACTCTGCCATGGTACTTCAAATGGGCAGGTTACAGGCTGCAGAGCCTGTTCTCCTCTGAGTTATGCAGCCTGAGGGTCCTTGAAATCACAGAGCAGGACATGAAGCGGGGAAAAAGGGAGTAATTAAATGTTACATTTTTCAGTCCTTTGAGTCATGCAGTTGCTTGCAACCTTGCAGTGGCCTGGAAGCAATATCCAGAGAGGAGGTTTCCCAGATTCCTATGAGACTGAGCAAGTAAACACCTCACAGGCAGCACCATCCTTCCCTCTCCCAGGTCCTTATCTTTAACTCTGACTGTCCTTACCAGTTGATTCCCCGCAGCTGGAAGCAGTGACAAGTGGAGCCATAAGCCATAGGTTGGACACAACTTGTTTCAAGGCTCTCCAAAATGGCTGCACTCTCAGCTTTTCCCCTACCCCTAGCTGTGTTTTCAACTCAACCCTTGCTTGAATTTAGAAGAGGAGCCCTACGAAGCATCCCTCCATTCTCTGAAGGGAGGAGGATGATGGCATCTCTGTCAGCTGGTCACCCACTCCCAGCCCAGCCTGATCACTCCATGGTCCTACTATTAGCAGATAGAAGTGCTGCCCTGGAGCCACCAGAAATCAGGCTGGGAGGTCATGGAGAAAAGGACTGAACTGAAGGGTCCCTGGTGAGCAAAAAGAGAGAGAAATGAGGAGGGCAGGGGCAGAAAAGCAGCCCCTTGGGGGAGCAAAGCCAGGCACTGAGGATCTGCATGCACAAAGCTGACTGGCAGGGGCCACCAGGACATGCTGTCATGCAAACAGACTGGGTGAGAAAGGCCAGTGCCAACATGACCCCTTAGCTCAGGAAGGGAGGAAGTCACACCCCAACATCTGGAAGGTGTTTTTCTTTCTCAGCAGGCCAAGCAGAAAAAGTGTGCCTTAAAGGATGAAAGTCAGATACAGCCCACTCCACACACACTCGCCAGTCACTCATCCTGCACTGACCTTGGAGACAGAACTGACCGGGGTGGCCACCCCACTCTGGTGACTGGTGGCACCCACTGAGAGGGGAGGTGGGTTCGGCAAACTGGGCTGGGCAGCGGAGGGCCAGTAATTGCTAGAAGAAGGAGTGCTGGGATGGTCCAGGATGTCATCCATGCTGTGACTGCTTCGGAGTGGGAAGGACCTGAGCAAGAGGAGAAGACAGAGGGGTGAGAGTCAAGGAATAGGGAGCAGCAGAGGTGCTAGCCACAACACACATCTGTGGGATGTCTCTGGAGAAAAACCACATGGCTTAGACTGAGCCAGTCACAAGCGCCTTTGAGAAGATATTGCACGTGTGAGGGGAGCCATTTAGGGTAAGCCTGGGAGAGCTCAGGGCACAGCAAGGCCCTCAGCAGGTGCTCCAGCCTGGGAGCACTGCAGCTCTCCATGGAGGACACCCCAAACAGGTACCCCACTGGTGTTAGTGACCAACTGGGAGCCACTCCAGCTCCTGCCTGGCCAAGTGTTCTCCTCTTACCTGGTGGCTGGCTCCTCCATCTCCCTTGCATCCTTGAGAGGCTTGACATAAGCTTCGGGGAACCAACCGCATCTAGGGCACAGCAACAGAGACAAATGAGCTCCAGGAAACCATGGTTTGTGGTTCTTAAGATCCAGTGGCCCAGCAATCCTAATCTACACCCACCCCACACATCAACCAAGCCACTGCTGCCGCTAGGACGCGTGACAAGGTTCCTGCACATCTTTCATCCCTAGGTGGGGCACAGGGTTATTGCGAGACAGTCCTTGAGCTTGGAGCAGGGGTGGCTTATCTCAGAGACTGTGGAAAATCCCTGCTCCCAGAGCAGTGATGGTGCAATCCAGGAAGAGACACTCCAACTGAGCGCGGTCGCCATGGCCAGCAAGCAAGGAAGCTGCGAAAATCCCTTCTCCTCAGGGCAAAGCAGCTCCACCCCACAAACCCCTCAGAAAGGGGCTACTCTTGCTCACCTCCCATCTGAGCGTGAGCTTCCCTGCAGAACAGGGTGCAAGGATGCTGTGTGGACCAGGGCAGGCTTTGCAAACAGGTGTCAGCCGGCAGCACCACAGGGAGTAATTCAGTAAGCGCTGGGTGCAGCAGTTTCCATGCCCTGCCTGTGTCGAAGGGGCAGCAGCAGGTGCGGTGTGAGCTGAGAAATGCCAGACCTCTCAGGTAACTCCAGCAGTTCACAGCCCAGAGCTGGGTCCCATGACAGGAGCCACTCAGCCATGCAAGCCAGGAGGGTGTCACTGCAGCCCTGGCTCTTCCACCCAAAGCTCCTGCAGCTGAGGCAACTCTTCCATGCTTATCCTGCCCCACCACATGTCCTCGGCTTGGAGAGCTCCTGTGCTATGGCTGAGGACATGGTGAATCACAGAATATTAGGAGTTGGAAGGGACCTCGAAAGATCATCCAGTCCAACACCCCTGCCAGAGCAGGATCACCTAGACCAGGTCACACAGGAACATGTCCAGGCAGGTTTTGAATGTCTCCAGAGAAGGAGACTCCACAACCTCCCTGGGCAGCCTGGTCCAGTGCTCTGTCACCCTTACAGTAAAAAAGTTTTTCCTCATGTTCACATGGAACCTCCTATGCTCCAGCTTGCATCCATTGCCCCTTGTCCTGTCATTGGACATCAGAGAGAAGAGCTTGGCTCCTTCCTCCTGACACTCGCCCTTTACAAATTTATAAACATGAATGAGGTCACCCCTCAGTCTCCTCTTCTCCAAGCTAAAGAGACCCAGCTCCCTCAGCCGCTCCTCAGAAGAGAGATGCTCCACTCCCGTGATCATCTTTGTGGCTCTGCGCTGGACTCTTTCAAGCAATTCTCTGTCCTTCTTGAACTGAGGACCCCAGAACTGAACACAACACTCCAAATGTGGTGATCCAGATGGTGGATAAGACACAGCACCCACACCATTTTGGGCTTAAGCCTCCCAGCTCCAGACCCACCAAGCCTGAACCCGGCCTATTTACAGCACCGAAGTCACGTACGTGGACGAGCCCTCCAGCTTGCCATACAGCCAGCCATTTTGCGCATCTGGCATCAGCACTGTGATGATGTCCCCCGGGTCAAACCGTAGCAGGGTCCGGTTGGCGCCCGTCGTGTGAGGCACGATAGCCTGCACTTTCGCCGTGCCGCTCCTCCTCCTGCCCTCACTGCTGCTGCTGGCCTCGCCAAAGGAGCCCGAACGGGAGGTACGGCCAGTGGGGAGCAAACCTGCAGGAAGGCATCAGAGAGGTCTGGCTGGGGTCCAGCATCCTCCTGCAAGACCCACGCTGTCTCAGAGGGACCTCTCCAGCACTACCCCAACCAAGGAATTACCCTAGAGGAGTAGATGGCCTTTCTCTGTGGGCAGAGAGCAGGGCATAGTGTGGGCAAGGGTAAAACACTCATCTTGCAGGAGAAAATCAACTCAAGCTGAAACCACTTGCTTCATGTCCTCTTTGGCCAAACATCTAGGGCACAGGCACTGCCTGGTACAGTGACTGGCTGATGGCTCTCTTCCCAACCCTGTTAGAGCAACAGAATTTGGGTCATCTTCCTCTTGCTCTGCCCTCTTTTTAAAAAAAGAAAACCACTTCAAGCTAAATTTTCTCAGGAAGGAAAAGCAGGTGAGACATGAGGTAACTGGCTGGGTTTTGTAGGGCACGGTAATATCTAATCTGGTAGCATGGGGGAAGGTGTTTTACTAAAATGGGAACTCCAGCAAGAACCAGCCCCCATGGTTCAAGGGGCCTTGAAGATTGTACATCTGTGGTTTCCCAACCTCACACAGCCAGCCACAAAGCCTGGGCTTGTTCTGGATGGACCCTACTCTGAAGGCTGAGCTCACCCTCTGCTTCATTCAGCCTTGCCTTTCCCAGCTCCCACTGCCCTCTCGCCATGCCCAGGGATGTGGCTGAGGACTGGTGGTCTGACAGAGCGGCAGTCCTTCCCCAGAGCTGAACCTGCTCCCAGAGAGGCCCAACCCCTGTGTCTCCCCACAACACTGGTCATACTGGCTGATGGTGTTCTCCGCAGCGGCCGCCTGGGGGACTCTGGTTGAGGAGACAGTCTCATTTCAGCAGGCTCTGGAGAGAAGATGCTGGACCTACTCCCAGGCATGGGAGAAGCGAAGTCCCCAAGGGGTCTCTGGGTCTGTTGGAAGGAAAGGAGGCTGAGCACATATCCACAGGGACTGCATCAAGCAGGAGATGCTCTGAGAGATACCCAGTGCCTCTCAGAGAGCCAAACCCAACACGTTCCTCCATTGCAGCCCATACATATACTTCCCTTTATCTTGGCCAGGAACCGCCACAGAAGCTGGACAAGGCAGCAAGTACCATGGTTGGCCAAGGACTGGCCTTGCCCTGCAGCCTGAAAGGGGCAGCTGCACCCCTGCCACCATAGAATCACAGATGGTTTGGGTTGGAAGATTACTTTAAAGGTTACCCAGTCCAACCCCCATGCAATGAGCAGGGACACCTTCAACTAGATCAGGTTGCTCAGAGCCCTGTCCAACCTGACCTCGAATGTTTGCAGGGATGAGGCATCTACCACCTCCCTGGTCAACCTGTTCCAGTGTTTCACCAAAGCAGGTGGAGGCTGGGCCAACATGGGCTCCTTACCATCTCAAGGTGGGTGGGGGTGAGCCGGCCTGATGGATACCCATGGCTTTGGGAGGCTGCGAGAAGACCGTGCGAGTGGCTGTTTGAGGGGTTGCGGCTGGCCTCCAGCTGCTCCTTCCACTGCGGTGCTTTGGTCTGGATCATGCCCCGGGCCTGGGGAGAGAGAGGAAAACAGGGCATGATGGACAGGGCAGAACAGCTACAGAGGGAGCTGAGGGCTGCCACATGCATTAGATTGGAGACCAGGTCCTCCCACAGTTATTTTTGTGGGAGTGGCCGAGCAGAGCCCCACAGGAGTGAATTTCTGGGATGACATCCTCCACCAGAGACTCCGTGGTCCCAAACACCCTGCTGTAAACCCTTACATTGCCCTTCCCTCTCCCATCGCTCACACACCCAACCCCATGTCAGCACCATCCTCACCCCCAGTCATGCTTTCCCAGCCTGGTACAGTGAGCACAGACCCCACAGCAAGAAATCAAATTTCCTGCCCAGTCCATGCACAGACATTGCCTTCACCCAAGGGGCAGCTCAGCTCTGGCCCCCTCCTGCCTGCATGCTCCCCCTCAGCCACGCTGTCTGCTCCCTCAGCTCCAGAGCTGTACCCTGCTGTAAAACTGGAGGAGTGTGTTATAGAGCATCTGGTGCTTTTCAGCCAAGAAGCGGTAGCGGCGTTTCTCCTCCAGCTCAGCTTCCCTCTGGCTCTCTGAGACGAACACCTGCATGTCTGAGCGCAGTCGCATCACGTTCTCCTGGGCCACAAGGGAAAGAGAGAGGAAGGGATCAGCATACATTCGGCAGAGTGTGCTCACACGTGGAGGGTTGAAATAGGTCATCAGATCTACCAGTTTCCTGGTCCACCTGCAGTGCTGGAGCAGCACAGAGGAAGGACAGCAGAGTGCCAGAGACCAAGTCCTTGCACGCTGAGGCTTGCTGAATGAGGCAAGGGCTTGGCACATCCTGCATGATTGAGCACCACAGGTCAGCAGCACCCTGTAGCAAAGGAGTTTCCTCCTTTTCAGATAAGCCTGCTGCTTTTTGAACACGGGGGACAACTCCTCAGCTTTTAAGGAAGGACAAGGTTGTTCAGAAACAAGCCCTGGCTCCAAATTAATCCTCCAGTTCTTTGTCCAGCTCCCCTTCCTGCTCACCTTCATTTCCCGGACATTTTTATCACGGGCCCTCTCCATCCTCCACAGCTCTGCCATGCACTTGTCCAGGTTGGTGGCTCGGCGCTGATACTCCAGCTCATACTGCTTCTGGCTCTCCTGCCAGGGAGAAACCAGGCTGGGTGAGGAACCTAAGACCCGGCCACACTGGGATGCAGCAAGAGTCCTGCTCTGATGGGTGGTTGAGCATCTGAGTCCTCCTGAAATCAGGCCTCACCTGAACCTCTTATAAAATGTCTTTTTTTAACTTTCTCTTCATTTTAAAGACCCCCAGAGTTTTGATGAGCCTCAGGATCTCAGAGGCAAGAGCTGTCACTCAGCTCCCCCAGGCCTCTGCCCCCCTCCATGACGCTACCCACCAGCATGGCCAGCCAGGCCACCATGGCTCAGGACCCAGACCCTTGCAGAGGCTGTGGTTTGGGGAAGCTGGGAATTCTGGTTTTGGGTTGCTGATTCTCTCAGCCCTATTGAAGCATTTGTCAAGTCCCACTGCACAACGAAGAACAGCCGTCTGCCCTCTTTAGCCCTCCATCATCAGCCAAACTAGGGGGATGGTGGTCCATGAGGGAAGAAGAAAATAAGTCCCCCTTAATCTTGCTGATGAAACACCTCAAGTGCTCAAGTGAGAGCTTTTGGGTAGAGGGGAGAGGGAAAGGGGGTTGAGGAGGGGAAAGGAGTTCACCACTCACACTGATGAACTGCACGTCCATTTTGCTGTTCTTCTCCATGTGCTGCAGCAGGTCCACGTGGAAGGTCTGAGCCTGGAAGAAGACAAGAAGCCATCACTCTCGTCCCTTCACCGTATGGGGTGCTACATCTTCAGAGTTGGGCATTGCTCAGCATACCGCGCACCCACCACCGCACTTTCAGAAAGGTGGTAGCAGTCCACCAACAGCACCAAACACCGAAGAGCAGCCAGGCTCTGGTCATGCCAGCTCTGCCACACGCAGCAGGGGTAGCAGGGAGGCAGGCACATCAGAGGGTGGGAGATAGGGCAAATCAGGCAAATGCTGGCATGCTGTAGTTAAGGAAATCACCTTCCCACCCCCACCTGCACCAGTCTCCAGGAAAACCACTCACCACAACTTCCAAATCAGAGCTCAGGAGCCTCTGCATGTCAGACATCTGCATCAGGATTTCACCTTAAACAGGAAAGGGTGGAAAAATCCTGCAGCCGCTTCCTCGTGCACTCAAGGAGGCATATGAGAGAAGTGACATTCAGGCTGATGATATATAGATGTGAAAGTCCAACATATATCGCAACGTGCTGCTCTCTGCACCCTGAGGGAGGCTGGCAGCCTTTCTCCTCAGGACTCAGCTCCGCCACCACTCCCCAGGCACTGCCAATGGGGGATTGCTCCAGCCCATGGAGCTGCCAGACTGCTGCAGCCCCAGGTGCCCCCTCAGCTCTGCTGTAGGTGCTGGGCTCCTGCACCACTGCAGCCCCATGAGCCCCGTTGTCAACTCCAGTAGCACCCCAGCTGCAGTGCACAGTTCTGGCTGTCCTACAGGAAAGTAGCCACAGCAGCCACTGCCAATGCTGTGTGCAGTCCCACTTCATTGATGCTGGCATTACAAAACCATAAAGGGAAGAGACCAATACCAGGGAGCAGGAGAGAGTAAGCCGGGTGGTGCAGGCGATGGGAGGAGTCTGCAGAAGGGACTCATCTGCTGGAATATTTTTACTAAAATATTAAGTATCAGAGCAGCTCCCTGACCATATTTTCAGCTGCCATCATCAGGCTGCAGAATTTGCGCTGCAGAGTGTAAGCCCCTCGGCTCCGAGGTGCCATTTCAACTGGCTGCAGGCTCAGGGGGACAACAGCCCATCAGCTGCTGGCAGTCCATGCTCTCCAGCTTTTCCTTCATGCCTGCAAGGAGGGGCAAAATGGTTCCTCCAACATGAAAGCTTCAGCTCTCAGGGCATGATGCCTCAGCAAGGATTGGTTTCCATGACAAGTTCATCACCTCCCCATCTGGAGGTCCATCCCAGGAGCTGGGCTCAGTCGTTGATCTCAGAGATACAGGGGAGAGTATTGGGGCCTTGGGGGATATTCAAGGATGCACAGTAAATTTGACTGTCACTGCCTGGACGGGACCTGGTGCTGTGATACAGCATTTAGAGAAGCTGCCTTCCTTCCCCCAATACCTGGAAAGGGAGAAGGCCAAAGAAATGTGACTATGGCTCCTCACAGGACAGAGAATGGCAAGCAGGAGGGCCTTACCCAGCACGTGTGAGGTGGAGCTCTGCATCGCTTGCTCCCCAATCTTCTCAATCGCCTTAAAATACACTTCAGCCGCTTTGGATAATGCTGTGACAAGAAGAGAGAGGAGGTAAGGAGGATCTGGCCTGCCTTTCCACCGTCACCAGCTCCAGCAAGCAGCACACAGGACAGCCACCCCCTAGCACTTCGCCTATGGGCAAAGGCATCATCTCTTCCCATCCCTAATAACAGCACCAAGTCCTGGAGCAGGAGAAAAGTGAGTAAGAGCAGCTGAGGACATGCCATGGAGGGGACCAGCAGTCTTGCCCTCGGTGACAGCAGTCCCTCCTGACATGCAGCGGACAGCCAGGATGGGTGCAACAGCACACTCTGGAGCCCAGGCCGTGCAGGACCCCACTCACCATGGAAAGCACGCAGGTAGTTGTTCCCCAGGTACACCAGGTTCTCCAGCGCGGGGTTGAACTGCTCCAGGATACTCTGTGGCCAGGCAGAAGCACGTTAAAGCCGGTCTTCCCCACACCCCAGAGACCTCAGCAGGTCAACACCCTCCCGCTGTGGTTTGGCTGGGTACAGCAGGGACACAGAGAGCTCCCCTAGCCATGACGCTGGATGGCCGTGGTGATGTACAGCCGTGCACAAAGCCAGCTCCCCAAATCGGAGGGAGCTGCTCTTCGGCTTCCCTGACTCCTCTCTCCAGCTTGGGAGAGCCAAGTGGTTGCCTGAAGGTGGCTTTCTCCCAAGACTCTACACCCACTGCAGACAGGAGAGCAACTGCAAGGGGATCTGAGCAGCCTTTCCCCTCACCCCTGAGCCTGTGGGGGTGAGGGCCACTTCTTGTTATCCAGGCACTAACAAGACATTTTCCTGTCAGAGTCAGCAGCTTGGTAAGAGAGGGGATGGACGGTTTCAGAACAGCCTCTCTGCCCTCACCACCTGTATTTATCAAAGGTCTTTATCGCCGACACTGTATCAGACCGGAGCCTGAAATAAGCCATTTTCCCCTCCTCCCAGCCCTCACTGCCTTGGTGCAGCACCAACGTGTGTAGCACTAACAAGACATTTTCCTGTCAGAGTCAGCAGCTTGGTAAGAGAGGGGATGGACGGTTTCAGAACAGCCTCTCTGCCCTCACCACCTGTATTTATCAAAGGTCTTTATCGCCGACACTGTATCAGACCGGAGCCTGAAATAAGCCATTTTCCCCTCCTCCCAGCCCTCACTGCCTTGGTGCAGCACCAACGTGTGTAGGGCAAGGGGGAAAACAGCCAACAGAGCTCCTCCTTCCCACCAGCAACCAAGGCATGTCACCCTTCATACTCCAAGCCCAAACCACCTTGATTGCCCGATTCCTTCCTGGATCTGCCCTAAGACCCACACCACCCTCCCCTCCTGCCAGCCATCTGCTCTCAAACACAGCCCAGAGCCCACAGGAGCTGCTGTAGTTCAGCTCAGTGATGGATCCAGCCCTCAGCTCTCCACCCTCCAAGGGAGCCTTTGGCAGAAAACAGCTCTTCCCCTCCCACCTACACATCTCCCCTAGGCACACGGAAGCAGTCTCTGGTGTCAGCACTCACCTTATAGATGGAGATGGTGGACCTGTAGGACAGGTCCATCTCTGGAGCTTTTTCCCCTCTCCCAAGGAGAAGAAAGGAGTAAAGGAGAGCCCAAGGTGCTATACTGGCCTCGAGGACTCTGCTGCTGCCGAGCGAGTGAAAGAGCCCGTCGCTGGTGAGGTAGGACAGCAGGAAGACACAGATGCTGTGCAAAGGGAATGGAGCACGGCTGGAGTTTAATAATTCACCAGCCCAGGAGGCTGGAACTTGATCTCTGGAAGAAACCGGACTCTGGGGAGAGAGGAATCCTGCGACAGCCAGCGAGGGCCTCTCTGAATTATTGATTGCTGGCTCAGGACCCAGCTCCTCCTGCCCCAGCACCTGCGGAGCCAGCCACCTGCCAGCGTAACCGAACTGTGGCTCGCCCACTGCTCGGAGGTGGCTCGCTCAGCCTCACTGCGCTGGTGGAGCATCTTCAGGTCCCTCACAGTCAGATCCCTATCAGCTCCTGATTGCAGGCAGCAAAGAGCAGGGGCTAGGGGAAACATTAAGAAAAGCTCAAAACGGATTTCACCTCTTCCCTGCCAATATCCACCCATCCCAGGCCTCAGCCCTCCTGCATCCCTGCCAGTCCCAGTGTGAGACTCCCAAACAGCAGACATGAGCTTGTGCCTGAACCCTCCTGCTCTCCCTGCTTGAGTGCAAGGAGCCCAAACACAGCATCACTCTGGGAAGTCCTTGGAGATGGTGCAGGCTTATGAAGAGGCAAGGGGAACACTGCAAGGCAGGGGAGGAAAGCAGAAAGGAGCTCATGTTCTCTCCATCCCAAGATGTGATCATGTTGTTCCACAGAAAGGTAAGCCCCTCCGTTACGTAGGGGAAACCTTTCCTCCACGTGAAAAGCCCCTTAATTCCACAATCCCATCTGTGAAACTGAAGATCAGGATGCAGACAAGCAGTTTTCAGCCTCATTCGTGACTCAGCACTCACACTCCTGCCCGCTGTGTCCCTTCAGAACCAGAAGGCACCAGGTCCAGCAGGCCTGCAGCAGTTACCTTGTCCAGGAACCACCTGGGCATACCAAAACCAAAGCCCCATCCCCAGTCATTTGTATCACAAGGGATTTCAGTGCTCCTCTTTCCAGCTCCAAGAGGACTCTCACATGGGAGGGCATCCAAAGCCTCTCCACTGGCTGCAACTGGTAAGCCCAGCATGCAGTGTAATGCTTCATGGGCCACTCACACCACATGCGTGCTCCCAGCGCTGTCTGTCGGGACAGGCCATTCACCTCTTCAGCCCACACAAAGGGTATAACCCTGTGCCTCTAGGAGCCCAATTCCCGATTTTCTCCCTGTAAGAAATTCAGAGGCTGCAAGCCCAGAACCTCTCTGGGGTTTTGCAGGATGGAGAGAGAGAGACAAGACAGCCATGGACTGCATGACAGTGGAACCAAATGCAAACGTCTCTTTATTTCAAGTCACGTTAGATTTGCAGAGAAGCACTGTTCACAACAGCCGTCCCTCCCATCAATAGCAAATGATTAACAATTCAGTTTTTCAAGTTACTCCTCAAAACGCCTCCAAACAGATACATACATTATTTATAAAGATGCAAAATTTACTGCAGAAACATTGAGTAGTGTAGCATTCACAATGGGATTTCCAGCAGTAAAAAAAAAAAAAAGCAAATCTAAATTGCCACATGGTCAGCTTCTTTGGTGGGAACTGAACTCAGAGCATTTCAATTCCACACTAAGATTAAAGAGAAATGATCTCTCTAGCAGCCAAGGCTACTGTCCCTCATCTTCAGCTCGCTACGAGTGAAAACCGGCTTTCACATCTCAGCCCGAGCAAAGAGCAGCACAGCAAGTCAGGATGCACAAAACAGTCTCTGGGGGAAATCTGCTCCCCCTCTGGGTGCAGCCAGTACCTGCACTGCCAGCCATTTCAGAGGGAAAAAGACACCTCACTCAGGGCAAGGTTCCTCCTTCTCCCAAGGCCAGTCGTGTCCCATCTACTGCGGAAAGTTGCGGCATTTCTGCTCCCCTTCAAACTGGGCGCATTGAGGGAAGAAAAACCCCTTTTCCCCCTGCTGTACACTCTAAAACACCTCGGCCCCAGCGGGCCAAGTAATCCCTGAAGCTTTATCTGGCTTTGGCCCATTCTGTAGTGTGGGAAGGTGCACGGTGCTTTGTCAGTGCAGACAGGAGACAGACTCCAGCTGCTGCAGCTCAAGAGAGGTAGGTGGGGGGCCTTGCTTTTGAGAAGGGCTGTACAGTCAGAGAGCAGAGCAGCAAAACCAAACACAGCAGCAGAGATGGAGTTACAATTACGGAGACAATTATTAGCATTTCACAGCTGTCTGGGAATACACGGGTGTGCCTGGGAATACACATGTATGTGTGCTGTTGTCTATTAAATATCATTAATTCCTCATTAGTAGTAGTAGTAGTAGTAGCAGTCTCTTGCCCACCTCAACATATTGGTTCAAAGGCAAATCCGAGCCATTTCAGTGTCTGCTGCTCCTCGCCATGGGGATGCTGAACAGGAACCAACAGGTCAGTCATCGGCAGAGATGTTGCACCAGCTGCTCAAACTGCTCCCGCTGCTGGTAGATGTAAAGCTGGGTGTCCCAGAGAGCGTTCACCAGCACGGTGTCATTCACCTCATCCAGCATCACCTCCGTGTGCAGCTGAGGGCTGAGCCTGCATAGGATAAGACAGCATCACCGCTTGGGCACATGCCCAGATGTGAATGCGACAAGGAAGTGAGCACACCCAGCACAAGACTTGTGCAAAGTAGCTTCGCCGTGCTGGGCATTCATAGAATCACAGCATGGTTTGGGTTGGAAGGGACCTTAAAGATCATCCAATCCACCCCCCTGCCATGGACAGGGACACCTCCCACCAGACCAGGCTGCCCAAAGCCCTGTCCAACCTGGCCTTGAACACTTCCAGGGAGGGGGCATCCACAGCTTCCCTGGGCAACCTGTGCCAGTGTCTCACCACCCTCACAGTAAAGAACTTCCTCCTAATATCTAGTCTAAATCTGCCCTCTTCCAGTTTAAAACCATTACCCCTGCCCTTGCAAACAGTCCCTCGCCAGCTTTCCTGTAGGACCCCTTTAGGAACTGGAAGACTGCAATAAGGTCTCCCCACAGCCTTTCCTTCTCCCCCAAGGGTCCTGTTGGACAGCATCCCCTGAGCCCCCTCTAACCACCCCCAGACACGGCATGCTCGGTGCATCAGCTCATACAGTGGGACGTGGCATCCCCATTACGTCGCCAAAGCATGAAGAGGCAGCAGGAGGATGGATTTGGGCAGGGATGCCACTGGAGGGGATGCGGTTTGGGATGATGCATGCCGCAGCCAGGTCTGAAGCGAGAGGGCTAAAAATAGGCTTATGCAGAGAGTGGCAAGAAAACTCCTACCGGAAATATGGGACATCTGTCATCTCACACCAGGCCCTGGCACGATCCACAGCTGGGCCATCTGCGTCAGTGCACTGCGGGACAAACAGGCCCAGTTAGAGCCTGACCGTCACGCTGCTCTGCCCCTGCCGGCGCAAGCCTCTCCCAAAACCAAGTCGAACTTGCACAAGCCACAGAGAGGGAAAACCAGGCACAAGTGCAGCCTGGATGCCACCAAGAGTGGAGGTCTTTTTTGTTTGGAGTTTCTTTTTTTTAATATAAGAGCAGTGCTCCTGATCCTTGGGACATGAGGAATTGCACCCTGCAGATCCTCCATCCATCACAGCACCATGTGGATTCCCTTAAAGGAAACACCCAGGATGATCTGAATCGCAGCCTCTTTGGGTTTTAATCCCTATCCCTTTCTGTCCAAGCCTGGTACCAGTAAAGCCTGTGACTACTGCAGGCTTTCTGGGCTATCTTGGGACAGCTTCCCTGGGAGCCCTGACATAAAGGACAGGGGAAACAGAGGGACCTCTCTGGGTATTTTCTGGCTTTAGGAAGCTAAAAGGAGATACAGCAGCAGAATTAAGATTACAGTCAGAAGATCAGTTCTGATCTTTCTGGCTTCCATTCATTTGGAGTGTTTTCATTCACATTTAATGAGCTTCTTTCTGAAGCACGCAAGAACATACGCCTATTACACACTCCTAACCACAGCTCCAAACTACTGCTTTTTATTAGTGATATTCCCAATTTCTCCAGCATTTTCTCTTTTCCCCAGTGGGGATAACAAAGCTTTTCTAAAGAAAAATTAACTGCTTTACCAAGGCATGATATTTTTTTGGTCCAGGTTGCTCAGCTTGCAATCAATGCTCCCTGGAAAGACACCAAGTTTCACAAACTCACACCTGCAAATAATCCCAAGGGTCACTGAGCACCATCCTGTCCTTAGCTCCTTTCAGCTGCAAGAACCTCCCTTGGCACTCAAAACCGCCCCCCTTTCCCAGTACTCACACAATCCACCACCATCTTGCCAAGCTCCCTGGCCCCAAAGACAGTCTTTGCCAGCTCCCAAGGATTGGAGGGGCGGAAAACATCCACAGAGCTCACCGGGACCTGCGGAGGCTTCCCCGTCCCCAGGGAGACCACCAACCCCAGCTTCCTTACTTTCTGCCTCAGACCCTGTGGACAAACAGAAGATTTGTCTGCAAGAAGCAACATTTAAGGCAGAGCAGGTACTTCAAGCAGTCTTGGGGAAGCTCTGAAGCCAAGGTGAAAGTCTCAGTAGCACTTTTTCTCCCCCATGCTCCCCCTGTAGTACTCCCTGGTGAGACAGGTATAATCCAAGTAGCTTCAACAGTTGCACCGGTCTGTCCCTCACGCCCCTGTCTGCACCCAAACCTGTGGGATCACCCCAAAGATGAGTCCTAAGACCAGACGACTGTGAAACAGTCCAACTCTTACAGTCATTTTGGCAACACACCCTCCTTTCCAGCTACTGGAAGCAGTAGCTGCCAGGAGTGAATCATCTTTCTGAGGAACTTGCCACACCACAGAAGGCATTCACTCTCAGCCTTGCCAAGTGCCCTACCATTGTCCTATCTATTTATTTTTGGGCAGAAGAAGGCCCCACAGAGCTGAATCAAGGG